AAGTTAGAATTAAATGTTCCTTCTTTAACTCATCACAAACTTTCTCCTCTTCTTTTTTGCCTTGGTGCTGAATTTTGCTTTTCTCGATCAACCCAATCTCCTTCTTTAACATATTTGGGCCTTCATACTCCTTTTCACTTCATAGATAAACGACATGACATTGCTCTTTCGGGTTCAACTCGGTATTGCTAGGAAATTGACACCTTTGGTGTTGGCTTCCCACGGCCTTGGCCAGTTGGCCAATTTGCATCTCCAAGTTTTTTCATTTGAGCCTGCATTGTCGTAGCCAATTGTGTCACATGATTCTCAATCTTGTCCAACTTCTCTTCATCTCTGTTGAAACGATTTCTCGTCTCATTCATGAAAGCTGCCAGAATATTTTCCATGTTCGTCTTCTTCTCTTCGACTATCTCGCCATTCACCACCTTGAGCCCCGGTGGTGGTTGGAGCACATTCTTCGTATTTCCATAGAAAAAATTTTCATGATTTCTATTATTCGGGTGATAAAAACCCGATACTAGATTAGGGCGATAGTTGTTGAAGTTCCGAGTATTGATAAAATTAGCCTCTCCTATGGTAACACGTTGCCTTGTACTCCACTCATCTGATCAGCCCCTTTCGCCAAAAAATTCAATTTCATCGTCAACAATGACATTTGAGCCACTAACTCTGTAATTGGATCAGAAGACGTCACCTCCGCTACTCGTCTAATGTTCGACCTCTTGAAAGGCCACTAATAACTGTTCATAGCCATCTCTTCTAACAAATTGGACGCTTCCTCCGGTGTTTTAGCCAATAGAGCTCCTCCAATATCCGCATCTACAAAGGCTCTTGTTTGGCTCAACAACCCATTATAGTACAAGCAAATTTGTTGATCCTCCGGAAAACCATGTCGAGGGCATCTTCTAATTCTCTAAATCGATCCCACGCCTCGTATAAAGGCTTCGAGTCTTGCTGTCTAAATTGCATAATCTCGCTTTTGAGTTGCATCGACTTGCTTGGAGAAAAATATTTAAGCAAGAACTTCTGGTTCAACTTCTCCCAAGTATTAATGCTCCCATCAGAAATCATCAACAACCAACTTCGAGCTTTATCCCTTAGAGAAAAAAGAATAGACGCAGCCGTATGGCATCCTCAGAGACACCATTACACTTAACCAAATCACAGATTTGCAAAAACTGGGTCAAGTGTTGATTCGGATCCTTGGTCGGGTGTCCACCAAATTGGTTGTTTTGAACCATCGAGATATAAGAGGGCTTTAACTCAAAATTATTCGCGTTGACGGGTATATGCGTAATCCCGCCAAAATTCTTATTAAATTGAGGCCGAAAGTGGTCATGAATCGCTTGCCTCGGTTGTTCTTGCTCTTCCATTGTGCACTTTGAATTCCCCCTTCTTTTTCTAATTATTAGACTATTGCGTCTAGCGAATGCTTCAACTTCGTCAATCGAGGGTGGTAGTTGTGCACCTTTAGAGCGAGTTAACATGCACGTCTTGAAATCACGAATATGAGAGATTATGTCACCAAAAATAAAAAAAATATCTAAATTAAAATTTCCACTATATATCATAATATTGATATGAATAATTATATTAGTCCCCGGCTACTGTGCCAAAAACCTGTTCGCCTAAATTTTTAAAGTTCGACCGCAAGTGTAAGGCTTCGCTCGCAGTATGTAGCAAACAAGGTCGTATCCCAGGAGACCAAATAATTAATATATCAAGTACAAGATTATGATAGTGTCGATCGAATAGGAGATGGATCAACTAAACTAAGAAAATATAATTGAAATATAATAAATCAAAAACAAGGAACTAGCTAGAAAACCTCGTAAGAAAATATATGGGAATGATAGATTCTAAGACTGTGGCTTCAATTAACAGTTGGGTTCCTTCAGAAATATCACAACTAAATGTTTCTTTATCTACCATATAAGATGATCACAAATTTAGCTTATTGTCCCTCTCGAGATCGATAAAACCGTAGATTAAATCACATATATTAGCGTCTCCACTCAACACATGTAATTCAACTCCAAATAGATTAAAAGATCTAATATCCTCACACGACCTACTAACCTCTCGATTGAAGCAAGTAAATTGTGTCAAATATTAAAGACCTAATATTGAAATCATTTCTCGAATTATGAACAATATTATCAAACATATAAAAACATTGGTCAAGTGCTAAACATGAAATAAGAACAAAATATTTGAACAGGGTTCAAAAGAAAACAATCAATTATAAATAAATAATCCAAAATCCAACATATTAATCTACTACTAAGTCCTAGAACCAAATAAACTAGCCACTCATGTTCGAATTAAAATACATAGACGTGTTAGAAATCAACATGATCAATAAAAGTTCAAAAGGAAAGAAGAAATAAAAACTAGGAATCTCGTCGATCTTTCAAACTTCTTGATTCCTTCGTAGTTGATCTTCTTTTTGCTTCCCAATTGCTTCTCTTGTGTGTTCTAGGGCTACTCTACTGTCTATCCACGTTCTTCTCCTTCAAAGTAGGTTACATATGCCTTTTTTGGTGTCCAAAAGTCTTCTCCTTTTCAAAATAGGTAAAATATAAACAACAGCCTGCGCGCGCGCGACACGGCCAGTCTGCCCATGTCACTGTCCGTGTCGCAGCCCGTGTCAGGTCCCTGGGCTTCAAAATCTCTCTGTTGAGGTGATACAGCCTCTGACACGGGCATTATGCCCGTGTCGCTGCCCGTGTCAGCTCTGCACACTTCTTTTCATGCTTGTTTCACTCGTTTCTTCTATTTTTTTCAATCGTGCATAAATCTTTCATCATCCTGAGAGTCTTAGGTACTCACCATGCGCCTCCAATAGCCACAAGCTCTACAAATATGTGAAAATATCTACAAAACAATCATGTGTAATACCTTTCCAACAAGATATAGAAATATTGCACAATAATGCAATTTATACACCAATAATGCAATGAATAAGCTCTAGATACTATATAAATATGGTGTAAAATCACACATGAACATGGATATTATACGAGGAACAAGAATAAGTAAAATTGTCATTTTTCTTATATCAAAGAATAAATATATATACTAAAATCAAATTTATATTACTATGAACGTGTTAGCAAGATAATATATTAATTACTTTGTGGGTTAGAGCTAACAGTTTCAAGTTTAACATCTCAATAGAAAAATGACGCTGATGAAAAGAGGTGGAAAATAGATGATCGAACTTTATTATTTTTTAGGCCTTAACGAACCAGTCCTATGGAAATGACTCATTTAATATCACTGTCACGTGCATTGCACGGGCTATTTAATGGATAAACTCTATGAAAATAATTCATTTAATGTCTCTATCCCGTGCATCGCACGAGCTATGTACTAGTTCAATATTTAAATGGTGTGGATATGAACGGGCAATTGTTGCAGTTGCATCCATTTTATTAATATTTGATGTGGGCCGCCCACCCATTCGTCGGATGTGCTTCTTTGTTAAAATTAGTTACTCCAATTTTATTATTAATAATAGAAAATAAAAATAATATTGAATGAATGGATAAATGTGTCTCATATATTTATATTTAAATGATCGAGTAAATGTTGAAGAGTGTTTAACTAGAATGATGGTTAGTGGAAAGATGATGTCGACATGATGTGAATGAGACATAGTATAAATTGTGATTAAATGAATAGGAATGAATGCGAATGCCCTTAGTCGACAAGCACGTGTTCTTTTTTATTTTCCCTAAAACACGTACTCAACTAATGCTATTCTGCATAAATGCAACCCATCATGAGCAATTACACAAAACAACTCAATTTTTTTACTTCCACTGAACAAGTTGAGGTCGGTTGGGCCAGCAAACTTTGGTAGATATGCATAAAAAATAAGTAGTGAAAACAACACTTGGTTTCTTAATTAGACCAAGAACAATATCATAAAGCAAATTAGCACAGGATCGTCTGTTATGATCTCCCTGCACTTCTCACACTCTAATTTATCATCATACGTTAGTGTTAGTAACCAAACATTCCATAAGAGAAGTAAATCATATTTGTGACAGGCATATGCAATAAACCCCAGTGCCATCTTTAGAATTCCATCAAAACTAAAGGACTTTTTTCACATTGAGAAGTTGGGCAAAATAGGCATCAACAGTCCAACAATCTATAGCATTTGCCACATGCATTTCAAGAATAAAAATAAGTGCAAGCAAGAAATGACAAATTTTGTATCAACATCGCTGTGCAACTGGAAAACCTTGGACAATAGTCTGAAATACGAGCAAGAATATATATATATATATATATATATATATATATATATATATATGTCATATAACAAATAGTCATGTTTTGATGATCTTTTCTCCACCTAGTGGTGATAGAAAGAAGCTTTACCATGGGAGTATAGATACGCAATAAGATTCCTTTCCGTAACAATTTTAAATTGAGTGTTGTATCAGTCCACACAACATGTTCCCGGTACCTGTTGCAGGAAATACAAGATTGTCCAGAAAATGAGACAATAAATGAACTTAATTGTCAATATTCAAGCGTTCTTCCATCAAAATAAATAGGTTCCAGAAGAAATTTACCCAACTATAAAAATAAAGGGGGCAATTTAGGGCGTGCTTGCTTACAAATAAATTCGCACAAAATGACTTTTTTGGTTCACCATGATTAATTTTGAAAAATGTGGTATGATTAGTAATTAGTGGGATTTTAAGTTTATATGAAAATAATATTCAAAATAAATAATTAAAGTTGATTTAATGTAAAAGTAGGAGAGAGATAATGAAGTGACAGTCAGTTAAAATTATATAAGTGGATGAATAGTGAATTAAAGGTGATGTGATGTGTAAGAATGATTGATTTGTATTATTTAATTATATTTGATAATATTAAGGATAGTGGTATAGAGTTAAAATTGAGTTAGATTTTGAATATGAATTGAATGAGAATTAAATAATTTATAAACAAGCATGCCCAGAACTACAGTATTACCAGTTTAGCATCTCTTCCTCCGTCGCAGTTGAAGCAATTATAAATGCCTGCAACCAGGTTGAAGTGAGTGTCGTAATAGAATTTAAGCGCTAATTATATTACCAAGAAAATACACTTATCATCATCACAACACTTACATCTCTATCAAATTCCAACATAAAGCATCGTTTCACATCCTTCTTTGTGGGCTTGCAGCCACATCGGTCCCGTCTAGAAGTCATGTCAGAAAATTTGGCGTATGTGTAATGTAAGACTGCACCCTCCTCCACTTTCCGTTCACTGTTTAGAAGAAATAAGAAGCTAGGATATGAATCTTATTGGTAAACAAAGATGTAGGTTATAAAACAGAAGTCATACGTTGGAGTTTTCATGTAATTACGCCATCTATGTGCACCATTAGGGCGAAGATGATCTTGTATCCGAGCAGCAGATTTTCCGTTAGCATATGTCATAAAGTAGTTTGGGTTGCCACGGACTGAATCTTCATACATGCCATAATAAGTAGCTTTTGTCAAATGGTCATAGTTTTTCTTGAACATGGATACCTATATAAATCGATAATTGAATCATGGCATAGAAAATGTTCTTAATTATTTCAACTTTCCCTCATCAAATAAGTGGGTAAACGAAAGAAAACTGATATTGAATTACCTCGGCGAAAGGATCTTGGATATCATCTCGTTCAACACTGCTTTCCTAAAAGAAACAAATGGTATGGTATGGTATATTATGTTTTGAAGAAAATCAAAGTTATGAAACGTCTTCCTCTTCAAGTTGAGAAAATCAAAACGTGTGCTTACATAGCTTGGGAAAACAACCGTGTCCACATTTTCAGGCATTTCGCTCAACAGTTGCCTCAGAGAATATTCTCGAGCACCAGCTGGATGCATCAATTCATCAGTATCCAGATGAAGAATCCACTCCACACCTGCCTCCTGGGATTATATTTGCAAATACTGAATTCACTAAATCTTCATGTTTTCTATTCTTGTGTACAATACAGACTATGATTCATACCCTTGCCATAACTATCGCCATCTCCATGTTTAAGTTTTGCCTCACAAACAGCTCATAGTTGCAAGGCTTGTAAAAGAAAATCGACAACCAGCTTTCATTCCAAGCTCGACTGAACCAGCAATACAAAAGGTTTGTTAGTGAATGATAAACATCACAAGAGTAAATGGTCAACTGCACAGAGTAAGGAAAAAAGGGTGTCCACACTGGTCTTCTCCTTTATCTTCATTTGTCCATAGAAGCAGGGGCGGAGCCACATGGACTAGGGTGGGCTCCAACCCATGTCCATATAAAAAAAAATTGTTAACTTTAATTTGTAAGAAATTTAATAAATAACCCTATGTAATTTTTCATATACCCCATCTAATTTCGGACTGGATACCTCAATATTCATGTCAAATTTGTTCATCTGAAAATAATGGTGGATAAGTGATGATCGTAGTGAGAGGAAATAAGACAATCTATTATTGTCAAATGACAATTATGCCCAATAAGATTTTTATCAATTGAGTTTATAATAATTCCTAACATTCTCTTGTCTTTTAAATTCTTAATGGGCACTCTCTTGCCTTATAAATTCTTAATGGGTTGACCTAAAAAGTACCAAATGAGCTGAATAACTAAGCTTCACACACACTTTTCATACGGGCTATTTAATTAGGCTTGTTTCATTGCACAATCTGTTAACCATTTTCTTTTGGTTATTGTTGAGTCCGCCTCCAATAATTAATTTGGCTTTCCTAGACAAAGAAAAAACTTGTACAAAAATTTGATTGCAAATATGTTCGACTCTATTTGTTTGATTGACAAGTCCGATTAGCTATTTGAGTCTGGCTTGTTTAAATATATAAATGAGTCGAGATTGAGTTTTCGCAATTTGAACTGAAATATGTTAACGGACAATTCGGTTCTAGTAATATCCAAAACCAGTGTGTGGGTTGACACCTCCGATCTCGTGCTGAGGGTTGGAGGGCCCTGAACAAACCCAAACATATACACGGGCTGGTGTTGAACTGTCGGTTCTTGGCCCCCCGATTCATTAGAAAAATAAAAAATAATATTCTTAAAAAAAAATGTCGAACCTCCGGTTCTGATTACAGTTCCTAACCAAAACCGTTGCTTCGAAATGTATAAACTATAATGTATTGAACATGAATCGGATTGGTCAAAATCAAGGGTCGGTTCAAGACCCATGGTCATTAGGCCGTTTCGTTCTTGGGCCGAACCGGCGGTCCAGGTCGACCCATGACCATGTTTACTCGATTTCACTAATAGCTACCATAATATGCAGCCCCGAGTTGAATTTTTTTTTTTTTTTTGCTACGCCCCTGGATAGAAGACACTCTAAGCAACCAGTGTTGAAGCATTCACATGTTTGATGGAATTTACCTCTTAGCTTGTTGCTCCTCCACTTCTTTGGTTCTGTATATCACTTTAACTCCCTGAAACATTAAAAACATAGTCCAACCTCATTAACTCAACCACATAATTATGGCATTTTAGATAACTAAACAAATTATTACTCCTTCTATTTATTGTCAAGTGTGCATTTTTTGTTTCTAATTATTTATTATTTTTTACTATTTTACTAGTTATATAGTATAAGAAATCTTAAACAATGGAAACAAAATAATCCAAGTATAACAAATAGAAAAAACAATATAAGTATGGAATGAAAGAGAACCATTAATAGTAAACTAAAATATTAATATCTAATCTAAGGAATTTAATAGAGAACCACATAGACAAAATGAATTGTTAGATTTCCCCAACCCATAAAGTCACAAAGAGAATCACCATTCCACTCTCTCGCGAAAAAAAATTCGAAACCCAAGCGCCTCTCTCTACTGAATCGCGTCGCTTTCCTCGGTGGCGGTGCGGCGCCGGCCGTTGGTCGCGTTCCACCGCCATCCCTCCTCTGCTATCCCAAACCTCTGGTGTTGCCGTTATGTGCTTGCGTTTGTTGGTCTGCCAAACCCTAGTTCGCTGTAGTTGCAGCGATTGGAGGAGGCGAGCTCTTAGGTCGTCAATTGGATTGCTATTGACACTTCCAGATCTCGATTGGAGGTGAGTCTCCCTCCAATTTATGCCTCTGTTCCTGTCTCTGTATATACGTGCGAATGGAGGGCCCGTTTCGGCTAGTGGTGTTAGACGGCGAGGTTCTGGTGTTCCTTAGCTCGGCTAGGGGTGTTAGGCAGGCTCGGGCAGTGCTTGAGTGGGTGCGGGTTCGATGTTCCTCCGATTGAGGCGGGTTGTTTCGGAGTTTGGTCTGTGTTCGAGTTCGACTTCTTGTATCGGTCTTATGGCTGTTCCGGGAGTCGTCCCCTGGACTTGGATTAATCTTTGATATCGATTGTTCTCCGCTGGTTAGGGCCGGCTGATTTGCTGCGAAAGGACCTTATATGATTTTTCTTTGTCTTGTTATGTGGTAGGTTTGTATTTTGGTTTAGGCGTTTTGCCTGTGTGTCCATGTCCTGATTTTTTTTGTTTGGGCCGTTGGCCCCTGTGCGCCCGAGTGTCAACTTATTATCTTGTTGGGATCGGACACTCGGGGTATATCCTGTTCGGATCGTTTAGTAGTTTTCGTTGTAGTTTATGTTGTTGCTTTGTGTAGTTGCGAGTTTTTTTATTCCAGCTTTGCTAGGTTAGACTCTAGGCGATCCTTTGGATCTGCCTCCCAGTTTCATCAGTCTTTGGTTGTACTATTCAGCCTTTGGCTGCTTTTTCCGCACTTTGTGCGGTTTATTTATATACTACATCTATCGTTTTGAAAAAAGAAAAGATTTCCCAACACCCCTCCCCCCTAAACGACACTTATATGGAAACGGAGGGAGTAGCACATAAGTAATCAGCCATTTTGGTCAAGCTTCCATGTTTAAAGGTAGTTCTTCCTTTAACGTCTTTTTTTTTTTCAACAACAAACGATAAATATTTATATCACTCATAATATAATTACAAGGATAGTCAAATGACTATAAGTTACTTGAGCATACAAAATACACACAAGTAACATGGGAGAGGTTAAACCCAACCCTTAAACGCTACTAAGCCTCAAAACAACAAAACAGATACTGCTAGGAGGAACAAAATTTCACTCAAATAAAAGCAACACATGTAACACATGTTCTTTATACAACTATTGCCATAGAGATTAAAAAAATTATAAAAAAATAACAAAGCCAAAACAATTTGCAAAATAACTCTTATTAGTATATACTAGTACTCTTTTTATATGTACATATGTACGGACGAGTTCAATTTAATTATATTAAGCACTATATAAAGTTTAAATTCAATAATATAAATAAAATTAAAATAAAATATTATTTATTATCAAAATTTAGTTGTACATAACATTATATTATACTACGCATCAAATAAAATTTAAATTCAATATTGTTTATTATGAAAATATAGATGTACCTAACGTTATATATATGTCGATCGATCATCTCTATACAAAAATATTATAGTTTTTTTGATTAGTTATTTTTTAAATTATTAGTACTGATTATGATCGAAAATTTTAGTTACCAATAAATTACATATTAAACTAAAACATTATGGTGACACACAACATAATAAAATAATTTACAACAAAATGCTAAAGTTACATTTAAAAAATAACTTTTGTACATATCACTACTATTATATGTAATATCTTTATCTGATTTTTTTTTTTCAGTTAATATTTTCAAGATTTTGAATTGTTTTCATAAAAAATTTGAAAAATGCATTCAGTCAAAGGCATATGTGATATTTGCATTTTTACTTTTATTTTTATAATCATTTAACAAAAACATAAGGGTTGCCATCCAATAAAAATGTTGACATGGTATATTGGGACCATATTGCATTATTGGAATGGGAAACCCATTCAACAAATGTTGACATTGGCGGGAGGAGCTTGGAGGCTGATACCTACATCATTGACATGAGGGATTTCGACGTAATTCTCGGCATGGATTGGCTCACCCGATACCGTGCCGACGCCCGATGCCTCGAATGAGAAGTGACCTTGCACCCGGACAACGGCTAGCCGATCATCTTCTTTGGAGCAAAGACGAGAACTGTGCCCCGAGTCATCTCTTCCTTGAAGGCGATGAGGAGTTTATCGAAGGGTAGCTGTCAAGGCTATCTGGTGAGCATGGTTAGCGAGGACAAGAAGGAGTTGTATCCGGAGAGTGTGTCCATCGTATGCAAGTACATGGATGTATTTCCGGATGAGTTGCCTGGAGGACCGCCGAACAAACAGGTTGAGTTCACGATTGACTTAGTTCCCGGAGCCGGCCCAGTCTCGAAAGCACCTTACAGAATGGCACCGAAGGAGCTGCAGGAGCTCAGGACGCAAATCCAGGAACTTCTAGACCTTGGCTTCATCCGACCGAGTGTTTCGCCCTGGGGAGCGCCCGTGCTGTTTGTCAAGAAAAAGGATGGGTCGATGCGGATGTGCATTGACTATAGAGATCTGAATAACCTAACCGTGAAGAACAAATACCCTTTGCCCCGGATTGAGGATCTATTTAACCAGTTGAGGGGTGCCAGTGTGTTCTCGAAGATCGATCTGAGATCTGGCTACCATCAACTGAAGATTCGGGATTCCGACATTTCCAAGACGGCCTTTCGGACAAGGTATGGGCACTACGAATTCATGTTAATGCCATTCGGGTTGAGCAACGCACCGGCAGTATTCATGGACTTGATGAACCGAGTCTTCCACCCCTACCTAGACCAATTTGTCATTGTCTTCATCGATGATATCTTGGTCTATTCGAAAGATGTCGAGCAGCATAAGGTCCATCTGAGGCTTCTACTAGAGACGCTTCCCAAGGAGAGGTTGTACGCGAAGTTCTCGAAGTACGAGTTCTGGCTCTCGATCGTGTGACTTTTCTCGGCGACATCGTGACGGCTGGAGGCATAGAAGTGGATCCGAGCAAGATTGAGGCAGTGAAGAGTTGGTGTACGCTGAAGAACGCCAGCGACATCCGTAGTTTCTTGAGCCTAGCAAGATACTACCGTCGATTCATTGAGGGCTTTTCGAAGATAGCCCAACCGATGACCCAGTTGACGAAGAAAGCTATGAAGTTTGAGTGGAGTCCCAAGTGCGAGGCTAGTTTCTAGGAGTTGAAGCGGAGACTAACCACAGCACCTGTGTTGACCATTCCGGATCCGACTTTGGAGTTCACCATTTATAGTGATGCTTCGAAGTTGGGTTTGGGTTGCGTGTTGATGCAGCAGGGTAGAGTCGTGGAATTCACGTCGAGGCAGTTGAAGCCGCATGAGATGAACTACCCCACTCACGACTTGGAGTTAGCCGCGGTGGTCCATGCCTTGAAGATTTGGCGGCACTACCTTTATGGAGGCAAGTGCGAGTTCTTTACCGACCACAAGAGCTTGAAGTACATTTTCACCCAGAAGGAGCTCAACATGCGGCAGCGGAGATGGTTAGAGATCGTAAAGGACTACGACTGCACGATTAGCTACCATCCCGGGAAAGCTAACGTGATCGCCGAAGCGTTGAGTCGGAGGAGTCATAGCAGGCTGTCTAGTATGCTTACTCGGCAGGAGGCATTGTGTCGGGAGTTTGAGCAAATGGAGATAGAGACGATGGAGTCGACCCTGTTGACTAGTTGCATGTTGACGGCACTAGTTGTGACATCGACTCTTCGTGGGAGAATAGTCGCCGAGCAACCGAACGATCGTTTTCTGCGCCGGATGAGAGAGTTAATGGAGGCCTACTAAGTTGGAGGTTTCGCAGTTGCATCTGACGGGGCTTTAGTCTTTGAAGGTAGACTTTGTGTCCCGAAGGTGTGGGAGCTGTGGAAGGAGATCTTGAGAGAGGCACATAGTGCCCCGTACCCTGTGTTAGTGTTATATACTGAAAGCTTGGCTTTGCATGATATTATACATTTACCCTTTATGAATGAGAATCATGTTAGATTAAACAAGTTCTACGTTCTGTTGTTCTGCACTTAGATAGTGTGGGTCGTCATCGGGCGAACCGAAGATCACTCTATCAGTTACTTGCGAACAAGAATAGTTGTTCACAACCTAGATGGACATGAACACCCCATCCGAACGGTTGTAGTGTCAACTGTACAGTTTGTCTTGACTGATTAGTTGCACTAGTACATTTATGTACTGAACAGGATCCCAGCGAGGAGAAGTTCATTTTATAATGATCGTCGTAAATGAACTAGGCCTCGGTTAATTACTGCGTTCTCTTAACCCGTAAGATATTAAACAGGCAGATATATATAATATATATTACTTTGATTCACATGGGTGAGGTTCAGTTCGCTGGATTAATATTCCTACTGTTTTGGGTAATATTATTATATATAGGATGTGCTGTTAGGATATTTACGGTCACCATGTGCGTTAGTTTGATGATGTCCCCAGAGTGAGTTCATAAAGGATTGTTATGCTAAACCCTGCAGGT